TACGACATCTTTTACCATAGTCCGCCTTTAACCTAATGTAAATAAAAGTTTGTGAAACAATACGATGAGTTTTGAATCACAGAATCTCCTCTGGCCAATCTTAACGCAGTCTGTTTCAATAGACATGAGTCTGAAGAAACAAGGTAACTTGTACTTTAATAAACATTATCAAATATTTACTGAACTCTATTTTTCCTGAGAAGAATTCAGGTATATTAACTAGCTCATAGATTTAATCAAAGACCGTCTTTGTCAAAGATGTTCACCATTGAGGAAGTTCAGTGACACTGAATCCAGCGGAGTTTCAGCTGTGTCTCCTGCAGGCGTTTAGTGAAAGTTGTGTAATAAGCTTGTGTCATCATGGTGACAGTAAACATTATCTTAAATGAGTTTGGAGTGCTTCACCTGTAAAATGTAATCTTCCAAAGCCTCAAATATACAAAAGAGGGCACACAAGAGTTTTAAACACCTCAGACTAAATAACTATTAAAAGACTCCAAAAACGATACACAAATGTTGAACACATTGAGCAAAAGGAACCTTTATAAAATTAAAAAAAAAAAAAAAACACCTCACAACACAAGGCCCAGTGGTTTCTTACCCAAAAATCAATAGAAATTATATTGACGAAACAGAAACTCACATTTTGCATAAAGAAAGCATCTGCCCGCATATTAATAACATCACATCATATTAAAGGGAATTTATCTGCAAGGCATTATATTTGAACAACAAAGACTACCATAGACTTTATCAAGACAAATTTATTGCGTCAAATCAACCTGTTATACATAATTGTACACAACTCATAACCAATCACCACTAAGCAGCTCAGCTGAAATGTATTATTTTACAGTAACAAAGATGGATTGAAAAACAGTTTAAGACGTTTTTACAAATTATATTATTTTGTATAAAAAGGTTTAAAACGCATTTGAAATATGTATTACTTCTCTGGAAATGTCTAATTTGTCACATGCACACCAGAAATTAACTGGTATATAGTGATTTGATACACATTAATTTACAAATTACAATAATGGCTTCAGGCATTCAGCATTACTCAATGCCATTTTTAATACTTTAACTTTTATTTATTATCACTAATGCACCAATCATACTGGTATCAATAATACTGACATTAGCTGGAAAAATGACTGTTATTGCCTTCTTGCATTATTGGCAAATTATTTTCCTGTTTGACACTAAGAAAGCTCCGTCAGTTCTTTTTACTTTCACTATAGTGAATTGACTGACGTTCACGGCGTAACTTGTACACAGTTTGCGCGTTGCTTGACGATTTCCCCATAATTTCAGTTGTTTATAGGCCACATATTAGACATATTTTTTTTTTTTAGGTTTATTTTTCAATGCTAATGAATGCAACACCAAAAAACTGGAACATCGTTAGGAAATCATTGTATAAAGCGCTATACAAATAAAGGTGACTTGACCAATAGATTTTAATGTACCAATGAATTATCACCCTAATAAATACACAGTACAAAAATACACAATGGCAGTCCTTTAAAAAAAAAAAAAAAAAAAAAAAAAAAAAAAAAAAGTACATAAATGTACCTACAGTGTCCATAGTACCTTTGAAAGCCATCACCCCAGTGACAGTTTTGTACCTTTTTTTCCTGAGTGCAGGGGGGAGAGAGAAAAAAAAAAAAAAAAAACCCGTTTAGAATGCCCTGTTGTAGCTTAATTCATTTCATAACCCTTAATCTAATTCCAACGTGCACCCTACAAAAACAAATTCCTCACTTTTTACTTAACTTCTTTCCCCTTCTCAGATATTCATCTGAACTCTACTCTTCTATTGAGATGTTTCTTGCTCTGTCAGAACATACATCTGAACACATCAAGGTCACATCCGGTCTCTAGCCTTCTTTAGACTGGTGACCACTAGATAAGCTTTACGTCGTTCTACAAAGGTACATACAAAACTTACCAGACACCACATCTTAATCTAAATTAATGACATATAAAGTCTGTATATCATCTTATTGTGCAATATTAATGTGCATATTTTTGAATCACTGAATTTTCCCAACAAATATCCCATTCATAAAAAGGAATAACACTATTGTTCAAAAGCTTGGAGTTTTAATTGATCAAAAGACAAAAACAATTTCTATTTATAAATTTTATTTTAAAAAATAATTCTCAAGCATCAAATCAGCATATTAGAATGATTTCTAAAGGATCACATGATACTGAAGAAATGGATGCTGAAAATTCAGCTTTGCATCACAGGAATACATTTTATTTTAAAATATATTGAAAACAGTTGTTTTACTTTAAAAATATAGTAAAACAGTATTGTGAAATATTAATCAAATTAATTGGTAAGTAACCGTCACGCAGAGAACACGCGATCGTGCAGGATACACACACACTTCACAAGATCTCAACTAGATTCGACTAAGTCTGCAAAGTTTGTGAAATGAAATGTGTATTAGTCATTCAAAGATTTGTTTAAATCAGGGGTGTCAAACTCATTTTAGGGTGAGGGCCGGATGAGAAGAAATGTCACCATTAACGGGCCAAATCAACTTTTTTTGCTTAATCACAGTGCACCAAATTACAAATTAAAAAAAAAAAAAAAAAAAAAAAAAAAAAAAAAAAAAAACACCTTTTGATTTCTGAATGGTCATGTAAGCGTTTCTTTCATATTCCGTTAAATGGATTAGTCTGAGACCAAACTTGTAGTAGTCTTAGGTGAAACTACAGTTGGTCAAACACCCTATTCATAACTAAAATGATCCTTAGTGCTTTACACAGAAGAAAACCACCGAATAGTCAGAATTCCACTTTCTTGGACATAACGCGTTCCATTTGTCAACAACGGTAAACACAGACTGTGTTCTGGACTGTGACAATGCTTCATTCATTTAGGCTTACTCTGCTTCTATTGCTTTCTCTGGAATTTTCTAGAATTAATTGATAACAGAAAATATTAAGATAAATAAATAAATGGCAGTTACGTGCAATTAATATCTTCAAATATAATGGAATTTTAAAAACAAAAGAAAATGCTAACAGACAAATTCTGTTAGCATTGCAATTTCCCCAAATGCTGTTCTTTTGTTCATCAAAATCCCCCAAAAACTTTGATAATAATGGATGTTTCTTGAGCACCAAATCAGCATATTAGAATGATTTCTGAGGATCATGTGACACTGAAGAATGGAGTAATGACTGCTGAAAATTCAGCTTTACCACCACAGGAATAAATTACATTTTAATATCAAAATGGAAAGTCATTATACATTTTAATACCATTTTCACAGTATTACTTTTGCTGTATTTTTGATTAAATAAATGACGCTTGTGTCTAAGAGACTTATTTCTCAAAACATAAAAATAAATAAACAACCATAAGCTTTTTAACAGTAGTGTATAAATACAACCCAGTGAAATAGATGCCAAAGAACCTATACTGGTATTCAACACTTGGCTCATAAGTGAATTGTATGGCACTTGAAAAATCATACACATAGAATTTTTCTTTTAAAAAAAAAAATAATAATAATAAAATTAAATTAGACATTTGTCAGCAGACCTCACCAGTACACTTGATGCAAGTGTAACAACGTCAACTAGCGACGTTGATGTATGAAACGTCAACAAGACGTCCAGAGCTGGAGGAGGGAGTGCATTTTCCACAATAACCGCCACAGATCCCAGAAACTCTACTGCCACCCTGTGGATACAAGAACTAAATGTAAGTTTTCTTAAGCGTTTTGTAATATAGCTAATACACTAGTTAATGTATACCTCAAGGGAAGGGCTTGTGCATGAAAACGCACCTCAACTGACTTCAACTAAAGATTAAAAATAAAATTCTCTTCTGCACGTCCTCCAGAGCTCGAGACTTATAATAGTGGATAATTTTGAATGGATTCGGTTTAATCTCTGCCCAAATTTGTCCCTCTGCTGATTTCAAGAAGGATTGACTCTGCACAGCAGCTGCTCAGTTGTGTTCCAGCAACAGGACACTTGTACCAAATAAGGCTGAGGTACTAGAAAAAAAAAAAAAAAAAAAAAAAAAAAAAACACCTTTTGATTTCTGAATGGTCATGTAAGCGTTTCTTTCATATTCCGTTAAATGGATTAGTCTGAGACCAAACTTGTAGTAGTCTTAGGTGAAACTACAGTTGGTCAAACACCCTATTCATAACTAAAATGATCCTTAGTGCTTTACACAGAAGAAAACCACCGAATAGTCAGAATTCCACTTTCTTGGACATAACGCGTTCCATTTGTCAACAACGGTAAACACAGACTGTGTTCTGGACTGTGACAATGCTTCATTCATTTAGGCTTACTCTGCTTCTATTGCTTTCTCTGGAATTTTCTAGAATTAATTGATAACAGAAAATATTAAGATAAATAAATAAATGGCAGTTACGTGCAATTAATATCTTCAAATATAATGGAATTTTAAAAACAAAAGAAAATGCTAACAGACAAATTCTGTTAGCATTGCAATTTCCCCAAATGCTGTTCTTTTGTTCATCAAAATCCCCCAAAAACTTTGATAATAATGGATGTTTCTTGAGCACCAAATCAGCATATTAGAATGATTTCTGAGGATCATGTGACACTGAAGAATGGAGTAATGACTGCTGAAAATTCAGCTTTACCACCACAGGAATAAATTACATTTTAATATCAAAATGGAAAGTCATTATACATTTTAATACCATTTTCACAGTATTACTTTTGCTGTATTTTTGATTAAATAAATGACGCTTTGGTGTCTAAGAGACTTATTTCTCAAAACATAAAAATAAATAAACAACCATAAGCTTTTTAACAGTAGTGTATAAATACAACCCAGTGAAATAGATGCCAAAGAACCTATACTGGTATTCAACACTTGGCTCATAAGTGAATTGTATGGCACTTGAAAAATCATACACATAGAATTTTTCTTTTAAAAAAAAAAATAATAATAATATTAAATTAGACATTTGTCAGCAGACCTCACCAGTACACTTGATGCAAGTGTAACAACGTCAACTAGCGACGTTGATGTATGAAACGTCAACAAGACGTCCAGAGCTGGAGGAGGGAGTGCATTTTCCACAATAACCGCCACAGATCCCAGAAACTCTACTGCCACCCTGTGGATACAAGAACTAAATGTAAGTTTTCTTAAGCGTTTTGTAATATAGCTAATACACTAGTTAATGTATACCTCAAGGGAAGGGCTTGTGCATGAAAACGCACCTCAACTGACTTCAACTAAAGATTAAAAATAAAATTCTCTTCTGCACGTCCTCCAGAGCTCGAGACTTATAATAGTGGATAATTTTGAATGGATTCGGTTTAATCTCTGCCCAAATTTGTCCCTCTGCTGATTTCAAGAAGGATTGACTCTGCACAGCAGCTGCTCAGTTGTGTTCCAGCAACAGGACACTTGTACCAAATAAGGCTGAGGTACTACATATGCTTGAAAAATTCTAAGCCAAAAACTGGACAATATACTTAATTTACTATTCATTCAGAGTGCTACCTAGCCAGGAACAAGACATGCTATAGTGAACTTCCACACATTTTACTCTTACCATTAGTTCTTCTGGTGTGCAAGAGTTAAATTCTTAAGGTATGCACATGACAAAGAATCGTATAGATGCATGATGTCAGTGTGTGAGTTAATGTTTTTTTTTTTTAAGTTAAGAACATTGTGGTGGAGTTACCCGAGACTTGTGTATGTCAGCTGTGGCGTTGTTCCCTTGGGAAATCCACCTAGTGCTATCTGTCATCCTGAATCCTGTCGCTGAGAGGTTGATCCTGAAACAGCAAGCACATTGTGTGCAGTCACAACATTTTACCACGTAGCAAAAGGTGGCAGCTTAACCCCTGGTTATCATTGTTCTAAATCCTGATTTAACCCCAGGTAGAGAAATGTTTCACACACGTACTTTAGCAGGGTACCACTGCTTTTTTTAAATCCTGGGGTTAGCACCGTTTTTGCAGTGTTAGAATGTTACAGCTAGATGCTTAGCAACAGACAACAAATGGCATGTCTCCTATTCACATGCTTTGGACAGTCATTTCAACATTGAAGGGGAAAATGGCGATGGAAAGCGTATCAATAGGAGTGAAGAGACCATTTCATTCTTCCCTTTGTAGTCCGAAAGTTCATTCAGCAACAACTTTACGGTAAAGTCGGCAATATATATATATATTTATATATGTGAACATACATAATGAGTCTTTATGTAAACAGGTTACATTCTGCATTCATCCAATCAATAACCGACACCAAAAATATTAAAATGAAGACATTAGCAAGGTTTAGGAATGCACAGTATGAAAAGTCAGTGTATGAATACCCCCGGTTTTATAAAACCTGGCACAACGTATATTTCTTTAAGTCAATTAAATTTAAATTCCTTTTAATAAAAATGTATAAAAACGCTTTAAATCAAAAACAAAACTAATTTGAGAAATTATAGAAAACATTGTTTAGGGAAAATTACTCATTTTTCATTGGCTCAAGTAAAAAAAAAAAATAATAATAATAATAAATAGATGTCAATCATTACCCTACATTTTAATTGGATGAATGAAACGTGTAATTTCCAAGTTACATCTATATCAGTGGTTTTATTTTCCAATTTATTAAACTAAAAAAATAAAAAAAAAGGGCTAACAAAATGGAACATTCATGCAATTTTCTGTTTTATTTTGATTCCAAATGTTAATTTAAAAACCATGAATTTCTGAGAAAAAAAAATCCCCCAAAAAACAGTTTAACAAACTAACATAAAACAGTTTCTCAGAATCACAACAAACAGCATCAAAACTATGGTTTTAGTCCACTCAGAGTTCACAATATTGGCAGCACTGAATTTTAGAGGCTAACTCACCTTTTTCCGAGGTTGAACATTACCGGTGGAATAAACTTCTTTTCAAACACTCCAGGTGTTACGTCCTAGGAGTGTCTAGGGATTGTCTTCCAGAACGTAACAATATTAAAATGGTTGAAGAGCATTTGTCTGGGCCCTGCCACAGCACCACCACCACCACAACATCTCTTTTTAACAGATTTATTACAGGCTAGCAAAGTATAGCCGGGTTTCTTTTAAACAAAGTATAAATTAGGAGGGAAACAAAGGCTTCAGGAGGGGACAAGACCAAAACAACAAACAAAAGTTCAGTTTAACTAGGGAGTTAGGTCCTTACTAAATCTCTCAAAGAAAAGCAAAAATCAACAACAGAATGTACACTCACTCCTGGTCTAGCCACAAAACAGGAGAAAACGGGTTGATGTAAATGAAACAGTTCCCAATCATAAATTGAAAAAAAACAACCAGATGAATAACAATTTTAGAAATAGCAAAGAATTTAAGACACTGTCACAACAGAGCAACAGGTCTCTTAGCTTACGTTTAGCAGGACTAAGGCATTCACTAAAGAACGGGCAACTAGAGCATCAGCATTTTAAACCAAAGAGTTAAAATGTTAACAACCATACAGATTCTCAACGGATGCATCACTGCTTCAACGGACCGGACCGGACACAAATCATGCTCTAGAGAAGGATTCTCATCAGTTGAGAGTTGTGCTCTGCTTTTATGCTACTTCCCTCCTGGTTGGTAAGCAGGTGCAGCTGGGGGAGCAATCAGGCTACCTGCCATTTCCAGGAAACATGTCGTTCAAACCGGAAACTGTAGCAAAACGGTGCACACCGGTTTGAGTTTGAACTTGCCCCAGGCCTGTGTTCAGCCCCGACAAAACGGTGCAAAACTCATAGTGAATTTCAGACGGAGCAGCACTTCCTACTGATCAAAGAGCTGTGCTTCACGGACAAGCTGCGCATAAAAACATAATCGCATACTTTGCGATATCAGCATCACACTAGACAGGTCAATTTACGCGAGATTTAGTGTTAATCACAATTTATCGGGCAGCCCTATTTATGTTTATATATTTATGTTTATATTCATGTTTTTGTTTGTTCGCCTTACATGCAAAAGTTCCCCGGTTCAAGATTGGGCGAAAACAAGGTTTTTAGAACTTATTCTTTAGCCCTATTCAGATGATAATTGTTTCTAATGGGTATGTATTGTATTTTCAACATTAGCAGGGGCTAGTCTGTGATTTTATTGCTCTTCGAGCCCTGAATGTCAATACGTTTCTCCCACCATCCACATAAAAATTCCTGTCCCAATTATCTACTGTTATTTTGAAAAACACCATGGTTGTGTGGTAATTTAATTGCCATCTGAATCCACATCTCTGAGAGAGGATAAATCCAAAAGTTGTTTTGTGAATCCTTTTTGATGACAGCCAAGCTCTGTTGCATGTAACTGTCGCGCTTTGCGGTAATGTGCACACACTTTAAACATGGACACTTTTATTATTGAAATGTTGGAAACCGTTTACTAGAATAATATTAAAGTCCAAATGAACCGGAAGTTGGTACCTACTTTACCTCAGTATTGTGGCGTATTTCCAACTGAAACGGAATACTGAATATTTTAGCCCTCCTCTTCTCCATCTTTTGCTCGCAGCAGACTAATGGTTGGAGCGGAGTGGTTAAGGATAATTTGTCCAACCCGTTAGGCAAAACCCAATCAGTCCCAGACAATTAAAATTTTCAATACAAACACGTGCTGGCAAAAATTTGGGCGCTGGTCATCTATTTGGAACCTGAAACCATCAATTGATGCCTATTTTTTTTTTTATTTTTTTTTTTTTATAAAATCTTCCAATGTGACAGGTGAACACTCCTTATACTACTTAAAGGACTGTTTTTAGTGAGGTGTTTATTTCAAAAAGCTACAGGATATTTCTGTTGAGCTTAACTTCCCTTAACTTTTCCCATTCATTTTCTATGGTAGTGCTTAACACTACGGATGCAATATATTTTTGTCCACGCGTAGATTTCATGGCGCTGTTTCGCCGTTTCCGTGGCGGGGAATTTAAGAAGCCTAGTGTCATCTGTCAATCATTCGCTGTGAGTGGAGGAGGGGAGATCTCACGATCGGAGAGATATCCGTTTTTACCGAATCGTTGTACAAAACAAAACAAGTTTGCTGACAGGCATTTACGTTCATTTTCTATGGTAGTGCTTAACACTACGGATGCAATATATTTTTGTCCACGCGTAGATTTCATGGCGCTGTTTCGCCGTTTCCGTGGCGGGGAATTTAAGAAGCCTAGTGTCATCTGTCAATCATTCGCTGTGAGTGGAGGAGGGGAGATCTCACGATCGGAGAGATATCCGTTTTTACCGAATCGTTGTCCAAAACAAAACAAGTTTGCTGACAGGCATTTACGGTCTAAACCACCTTCACACAAGTCTTACCTCAGTTTTTACCCCAGGTGACCGCTGTTTTTACGTCAGCGTTCGAGATCAACGCAGTTAAGCTGTCAAACCGAGAAGGTAAGTTGAATGCTATACTTTAGCAATATTAACTTACTGTGTATTGTATATGCATTATCATATAAATTGCATGTATATTCTCATGTAATGATATTGTTAATTGTGTTGAATGGTTTGTGATGTTAGGAAACATTAAACCAAACTCATTGTTGAAAATACAGCTGTTATTTTATATAATTTTATAGTTTTTTTAGTGAATGTTTCATCATTGATCTCTTACTATGTACTTAAATTTTTTTTTAGAAAATGTTAATATTGCAATATGATACTCATAATGTAATTAATATGTATTACACACATATATTACATTTAAATTACAAAAGAAGAATTACAAAAAATTGTGTGTGCAATTTAATGGTATAATTTAAAATGTATGTGTGTATAAAACAACATTTTTAATTAGTTAAACTTGTTTTTATGTATACATACACACATTTTCATATGACATATTTTATAGATGTACTCACACATACATTAAGTGAATTAAATAATAAATATTAAATAACACAAATTTATCAAACACTACTTTAAATTTAAAGTATCTTATGCTCTAAGGCTGCATTTATTTAGCTAAAAAGCAGTAATATTATGAAATATTATGGCAATTTAAAATAACTTTTATATATAACTGCTGCTGATAACTGTCTTATTTCATTATATTAAGTATTTTCATGTGGCTATGATTTCAGAACAGCATCGTGAAGAAAACCCAGGGAGAGTCAAGATGTCTTTCAGGAAAGGCGCATTAAGGCCATTTACGCAGGGACCCATCAGAAGAGGCCAAAAGAATGAAAGACAGCCCTTCATTGCAGGACAAGTCAACACCTCAAAGAGAAGATCAGGATGATCTGACCTGGTCAGAATGAATGCCCATTCTGTGGTGTTACAGAGAGGAGGGGATGTCTCTGACAAGCAAGAGGTGTTGGGAGAATACATTCTTCAGTTCGGCAAGTACAAGGGCAAGTCTTTCTGGTGGTTACTAGAGAATGATGTCGGCTATGCTTTGTACCTGTCCGATAAGGTTGAGGAAGAAGAACAGGCTGGGCAGTTCAACCCAGAGGGTCCTTGCAAAGATAGCCTCATTTCCTTTCTTGAATACTCAAGAACCTTTAAGGAAATTAAGGATCTTAAACGGCATCTGTCTCAAAGGCCAGATCCATTGCCAGTTTTGATAGAGGATGACAATACTGTTGGATTTGGAACAAGAGCACAAGACACTTGGAGGAAAATTTGGGATACCAGGGCAGACGGATATGCTTTCTTTATAATGAAGCAGAAGTGTGTGCCAGGCAGCAAAATGTACAACTTGCAGCAGTATCTTTTAAAACAGCAGCAAAAACAGCTGACGATTTACACTCCTCCGTTGCCCTCACCACCAGCTTCCACTGCAAGACCACTTGTTCCTTCCAGTACTGCCTCTGATCAGCCTGGTAAGTTAATCAAATTCATGCAAATTTGCTTATATTGATTCTTAAAGCCTACTGATGCATTGGTTTTGTTTTATTGTGATGGAGGAGGATGAAAAACTGGAGAGGATAATGCTGAGTCTTTCTCCCAACAAAATATCTCACACAGCTGAGTAAGTGAATCTAGAATCATGTCATGTGTGTTATACAGAGACATGTCAAGTTCAGCATGTTTATGACGCATACAATTGCACATACTGGAGCAAAACTGTTCAAATTATAACGCTTAATTTTCAGGATCATCTGCAGCCACGGGATCCAAAGTCTTATCTACAGCAGGTTACTTTCCACATCAGATTTGGAGGCTCATTCTGTTACATACAGACTTATCATCCATTTCTGAATTTAATTATCTTATTTGTTGTTTTGGCAGTGTTCTTGCCTGTTCTAAAAAACATGTTATTTTGTTCTAACTACTGTTAAGGGTTGAACATACCAGTGGTGAGGGTGAGTGCACTTCATGAATTGTATGCATGGTATTTAAAGTTTTATTTGTTGTTATAAGTGGAATGTTTACTTACAGACTTTTGAACATTATTAGAATTTGCATTACTAGAATAATAGAATAAACAACGCTTCATGAGTTACATTAAATGAGTCATTTAATGTAGTCAAGACAATTAAATACACATCATGTACATTCAGTGTTTTAATATATTTTTAATTTCCTCCCTGTGTTGTTCCATGCAGGTCTGCCACAGCCTCCATCAACATCAGTTCCTGCGTGTAGGCCTTATTCACGGGGTGAAGGCTCTGTACCACCTGCAGCAACACAATCAACACCTGCACCAATGCCGCCTGTACTGACTGAAGCCCCTGTTCCCAGCTACTTGACCACAAAAGGTAAAGACAGTTAAATACACATCATGTGCAATCAGTGTTTATACACACACACGCACACATATATATATATATATATATAAATTTCCTTTACTTTGTGTTCCATGCAGTTCTGTCGACATCACATGCAGTCTCTAGTTCTCCCAGTCCCAGTATACTTTCTTCACAGATTGATGGCTCTGTACCACCTCCTGCTGCACAATCAGCACCTACAGCTCCTGCATCAATGCCGTCTGCACAGACAGAAGCACCTGTTCCTAGCTACTTGCAAGATATTAGCCGCTGGAACTGCTCTCTTCATCAAAGAATTTGGATGAAGACAGAGATGGAGTCCATGGGGCTCTGGCCAGGATCACACCCAGTAAGACACCTCATGAATATGGTCTCCTTGTGGCGCTATCCACCTCAGCCTGAGCTTATAGACACAAACACTGGCCTTCCGTCTCCCAAATACTTCCAGCTCCATCCCTTTTTCATTTGGAAACCTGAGCACAGTATAATGGAAAGGCTTAGGAAGAATTACATCCTGCCTTGTCTTTACGGCTGTCAAAATCCTAATGTTGTGTCCTCTGGTGTGGGAAGACCCCGAGTGATCCTTGGTACTACTTGGCAATATTACATCCTTGCTTCACGTCTGTGTTGTAAGGCATGCAAAAGATATTGGTTCGCTGATAAACCTCAGTGGCTGGACATGCTACCACAGCGATTCAGAAACGTCTTGCCAGCCTTCCTCACCTATAAGAAGGCAATCTGTAAAACGGTGATGGATGAACTGAGGCGCTCTGGAAAATCCCCTAATGACATGGCCAACCAGCTCTCTGAGGTGCTT